CCTCTTTCCTTTCTGTCCAATTCTCAATCCAAGTGGCCTTATCAATGGCTCTTTTGAGGGCTGGGAGCTGGGCTGTGTCCCAGTCCCAGACCTCGGGACGTAAAGACCCTGCTGTGGCGCAAGCAAATGGGGAGCTGTGGAGGAAAGGTTTTAGCTGGGTCTGAGAGAGAACCTCCACTGTGGCGCAGTGGACCCGGACCGAGATCCTACAGGACCTGGGTGAGGACAGCACCACTTCCCTGTAACCACTTGAACGCCCCTTTCAGAGTAATTTTTGGCCTGCATCTGTGCTGGTGTGTGTGTGTGTGTGTGTGTGTGTGTGTGTGTGCCCCTTCAATAACCCTTTCGCAGGACCAGACGTCTGCAGGGCCAATACCACTCTAAATCACAACCATGAGAAAATGCAAGAAACAAAACCTGAATATTCCACCGCCTCTGCCTCTCCACAGGAAGCAGCTCTCTTTGTGTTCCTGGAGTATTGACACACTTTTTCTTTCTCCCTTCAGTCCAATAGCTAGACTGGATGACCTTGGAGGCCCTATGTAAATTTGGGATTTTAAGGACCCTCTCGTTCCCATGACACTAACCCAGGTAAGCAACATGATCCAAGGACCATTATACTCTCAAGACTCTCACGGACTCTGCAGCCACCTCTTTCCCCACTCCCCCAGCCTGCAGTTTTTGTTCCCAGAGTGCACTATTTGCTCCCTTCTCTCCTGTTCCAGGCTTATGAGAAAGGGAGTTCTCTTAGGTTTACTAAGTAAAATATAAGAAAACAAAGCAGTTCCTTAAAAAAATTATGTTCAAGGGCTGGAGAGACAGCTCAGCATTTAAGAACACTTGACTACTCTTCTAGAAAACCTGGGTTTGATTCCCAGAATCTCCATGGCAGTTCAGACGATCTGTATAAATCCAGTTCCAGGGAATTCGTGCCCTTTTCTGGCCTCCATAAGTATAAATATACATGTAGGCGAAACACCCATACACATAAATTGAAAATAAACTTGGGGCTGGAGCGATGGCTCAGCCGCTAAGGGCACTGACTGCTCTTCCAGAGGACCCGGGTTCACCATCCACATGGCGGCTCACGACTGTCTGTAATATCCAGACCTGACACCCTCACACAGACATATATGCGGGCAAAATACCAATGCACATAAAAGAAATACATTAAAAATTTAGAAAATTAATTCCATAGGCCAGGCATAGTGGCACATACCTTTAATCCCACCACTTGGCAGACAGAGGCAGTTGGACCTCTATGAATTCAAAGCCAACCTGGTCTACATAGCTCAGGCTAGCCAGAGCTATATAGTGAGACCCTGTCAGAAAAAAAACAAAACAAAACAAAGCAACAACAACCAACCAAACAAAAAAGAACCACCACCAAGCCTGGGGCCTGGAGTGTAAGTTCAGAAGAGTGCATACCTAGATTCCACCCAGAACCGTATTACCACAGACGCCCCCAACCTGTGTGTGGCTCAGCACTGCTGCCCAACTACCCCACCGACTAGGCCAGTCTGCGCCCTCCTACCAAGCAATCTCGGAAGGAAGATGATTTGGTTATAAGCTGTACGAGGATGCCTTGGGCTGGGGATGTAGTTCAGTGTGTGTCAGACCCTGCGTGAGATCCCCAACGCATTCCTAAGCCCCTTAACAATAAACGGTACCTTTTAGAGATGAACTAGAAAATGAAATGTCTAGTAATTCTTGCTGAAGCCTACGAGGGACACACACGAAGGGCAGGTGCTTTGTCATAGGAAGATCAGGAGTAGGCATTTGGGGTTGTTCTGCTGGGGATTTTGGGGATGACTGAAGGAGTGTTGGGTGAAATCAGACAGAATCCCAGGTGTTGATCAGAGATATAGGCTCAGGAAGTGTGGGAGTCTGGCAAACTCAGGGGTCCTGTCTGGACCTCTCCATTGCGATGTATTGCTCAGGATCCTAGCCCTGGCTTCATCCTCATGAAAGGAGTTGATAAAGTGGGAAACTTGGCTCTCCCCAAGAGCTTCTGGCAGTTTAGCAAATGCCATTGTCTGTGCACTCTGCCCAGTGCCCTGGATTTGCGGCTGTTTTGTTTCCAGCCTGAATCAGTTCCTTTTCTTGCCAGTCTCTTCCCAGCTGAAACTCGGCACAGAGCCAGCCCCTCTCCCAGTGCTGGACTGTGAGCACATGAGTGGACTGGGAGAGTGGTGGGCAGTGCTGGGAACAAGGCAGAGTGGAGATGGACACTGGAGCCCCTGGAAATGGGAGTCGGAGCAGAGACCTGAGGAAAGCAGGTGGTCCTATTACTTCCTCCTTTCTTTCTGAGACAGGATATTATGTATTTCAGGCTGTTCTTGAACTTGTAAGGAAGGCTGACTTTGAACCCCTGACCCTCCTGCTTCTACCTCCTAAACGTTGGGACTATAGGTATAATCCTCTATGTTTCAACCAAAGGTTTTGTGCCCAATAGATAAGCGCTCTGCCAATTCAGACACATCCTCAGCCCTCCGACTCCCACACACATCAGAGAGGGTTCCGTGAGGCCTGTGCTGACACTGGAACTCCTAATCCTCCTGCTCTCACCTACCAAAACTGGGTTTACAGGCCTCTGCCATAATGCCCAGTTCTAAAAGTTAAATTGGCTGGTACAGGATCCTAGCACTTGGTCAGCAAAAGCGGGAGGATTATTGTAAATTCAGAGGCAGCCCAGGCTACATAGTGAGATTCAGGACATAGAGGGTAAATAGTAAGACTCCGGGTCATGAAACAAAACAACAGAAACCAGTGCTGGAGACACAGCTCGGGGGGTAGAGTGCTCACCTGGCATGCACAAACCTAGAACTACAGAAAGGTGGGTGGTGGTGCACACCGATAACCCAGTACTTGAGAAAGAGGAATAACAAGTTCAAGGTCATATTCAGCTCCATCAGATTCTACGTAAAAATTAAAAATTAAAGCCCCCATTCATTTTTTCTCCTTTGCCTGGGGAGTATAAAGCCAGGGCCTCTTCCATACTAGACAAATCCACTTTCACTGAGCAATATGCCCTGTGATTCTGTCTCCCCAGCTCCATCCAGTCTCAGAGGGGAGAACTAATACGCTGGGCACGCTACCTGGTGTCAGCATCATAACCTAGCAAGGAAGGCAATGTTATCGGCTGAGGAGAACAGACTGAGAGGAGTCAGGAGCCACTGTCACACATCACACCCCTGGGAAGATGTGGGACCAGGCAGCCAGTTCCAGACTGAGAGGAGTCAGGAGCCACTGTCACACATCACACCCCTGGGAAGATGTGGGGCCAGGCAGCCAGTTCCAGAATGAGAGGAGTCAGGTGCCACTGTCACACATCACACCCCTGGGAAGATGTGGGGCCAGGCAGTTCCAGAACCCCAGTGCACACACTCAGTCCTGCTCTGCTTCCTACCTGCGGAAGAAGTGAAGGAGCCACCAGGACGGATGGCGGTATGCGCTCTGTACTTCTGAAATTAATTCCAGAGCAATGTTCCTGAGTGGGGACAGAGGGAAAAAAAGCAGTGTGGAGGGCCTTATCCTTCTCCAATGCAAACAAGGGAAAGGAGTAAGAAAGGAAAAGTCTCTGTGGTAAACTTTAGGGCCTGGAAACTGTGTAGTATATTAAACTGCATTTACAGCAGGCTTATAAAAAGACATTCGCTGGGTGGTGGTGATGCACGCCTTTAATTATAGCACTTGGGAGGGAGACACAGGCAGACCTCTGAGTTCAAGGCCAACCTGGTGTACAGAGCAAGTTCTGGGACAGGCTCCAAAGGTACACAGAGAAACCCTGTCTCGAAAGACCATACACACAAAAATAAATAAAACAAATTAAATTAAAAAAGACATAAACAGGGGTTGGAGAGATGGCTCAGTGGTTAAGAGCTCCTGTTGTTCTTGCAGAGAACCGCAACCACATTAGGCAGTCCACAACTGCCTACAACTTCAGCTCCAAGGAATTCAACAACTTCTGGTCTCCTCAAGCACACACACACAAAACAACAACAATAATAACAATATTTCTGAAAGAAACACTCAGGGACCACTGAGATGATTGAGCAGGTCAGTGTGCTTGCCACCAAGCCTGTTGAGTAGAAGGGAAGAATTGATTCCGGAAAGTTGTTTTCTGAGCTCCACACACTTGCTGTGACACACGTACTCACACGTGTGTCCCCCAGACGTAGACAAATAAATAATAAATAAACACAATAAAAGATATGTACAGAACAAAATAAAACACACACATAGCACATTGTTGGACATAGTAGTGCACACCTATAATCTCAGCACTTGGGAGGTAGAGGCAGGAAGATCAGGAGCTGAAGAGCATTCTTGAACACTCATCAAGTTCAAGGCCAGTATGGTCTATGTGAGACCCTGTCTCAAAAAAGAAGAAAATAAAAAAGAAAAGAAAAGAAAAAAGAAAAAGAAAAAACCCCACAAATAAATAAAATAAAGTAAGACAAAAGTTGGTGGTTCATGCCTTTAATCCCAGTATTTGGGAGGCAGAGGCAGGCAGATCTCTGTGAGGTTAAGGTCAGTTTATTAGTGGGTTTTGAGACAGCCAGGGATATATAGAGACCTCTTCTCAAGGAAAAAAAAGATACATTTATGAAAATACTTATACCCACCTAGGAAAGGAAGCTGAGGTTTACAGATTTCCAGGAGTAGGAGTGCATGCTCCCTCAAGGAAGCTCACAGATTTTAGAGCACTGGATACATGGTGCAGGGGCTAGGGCTGGAGGACCAGCCAGAGCAAGCTGAATGCAGCATCAAGATACCAACCAGTAAGTGAAATTTTAGAAGCAACTTGCCTTTTTGTCTTCCAGGATTTGACTGTGAGAGGAACACATCTCCTAGGTCTCCTCTTTTCCTTTGCTGCTTACGTCTGAGAGCTCAGATCTCAGTAACTTCTCTGTCACCTGTCTTTGCTATGAGTGCTCCCTTGACCCTCCCACCTCTCCACTGAGGCCATCCCTCCCCAGCACACTCTTCCTCCTCACCTGGATGTTCCTCTTGATGATGTCTCTGACCAGCTGAATCTTGCCTGTGCTGGGGTCCACACCCGCCAGTGGTACCATGACCTCCCCAATGACATCATCCCGAGAGAAGCGATCAAAGCTGAGCACGAGGAAGTGTAGCACCAGATCCTGTAGCTGGCTATATGGGATGCCGTAGAAGGTGAAGGTCTCATCAAATACAGGGTCCAGAGTCTTGCGAAGCACACGGGTCTTCACTCGATGCCGCTTGTCAGGAAGGATGGTCATCTTGATGTAGGGGTCAGAGCCCTGGGTCTGATCATCCATCACTGGCAGCCCATGGGCCTCTTGGATTGTTACCACCAGAGCTTTTTTGGGAAAGTTATAGTCCACCGAGAAGGTAAGGGATCCCAGCATCACGTCTTCCTCTGGTGATGATGGGGAGGTAACTTTGCTCTCACCAGGGGTCAGGCTTGTCATGGGGCTCCTCAGTTCTTCCCCGTAGTCTACTTTGATGGGTAACTGGTCTATACAAGATGCAGAGCTAGGCCCTCTGGGGTCCTTTTCTTGGCCCAGCAGGCCAGACTCTGCCGCATTTACTAACAGGTTCCCTCGTCCACTCTCCCTCCGGGGATCATCTTTGTCTCTCCGAACTTTGATGATTTTCTTCTTGTTGCTGAGGGTCTCTGGGTAGATGCTAATGCCTTTCAGCATGTGAATAAATTTGTATGGCGGGGTCTTGTGCTTCTTCTCCACCTGCTGGTGGCAGCATGTCCACACAAAGACAGTCACGGAAACACACACCACCAGCACAGAGGCCCCAATGAGGCCAGCCGCCACTGGTGACACATCTGAAGGAAGAGAGTAGAGGTGTGTCAGAATAAGACTTCTGCTTCTGTCAAGAGAGTGCCCCTTGTGGGGCTGAACTATCCTCAATCCGTCTCCACAGTGGGAGCTTTTCCGGCTCACTGCCCAGGAGGTGATCCGTATTCTTGCCTTCCTGCTAAAGTCAGGGAACACATTTGCTTAGCTGCTGTTGCTGCTCTTGTTTGAGACAGGGTTTCTCTGTGTAAGCCTGGCTGTCCTGGAACTAGATCTTGTAGACCAGGCTGGCCTCGATCTCACAGAGATCCGCCCGCCTCTGCCTCCCAAGTGCTAGGATTAAAGGTGTGTGCCACCACTGCCTGGCTGATTATTCTTTTTTATTAAAACTTTATAGCACTTGCAGAGTTGATTGGTCACTTTTATTTGTGCTTCCCAGAAAGCTGTGCCTTGAGTGTTTGAAGGTTGCCTTTTGTGTAGGAATTTGTTACCCAGGGCGTGAGCTGTGTGTTTGGTTTTAGGAGACTGATCCGGTACACCCAATACAGACAGTCAACAACGGCACTGTCTTGCTAACTGATTGAGAGCTGTGTGGGAAAGGGTATGGTACTGAGTTTTGTTGGTCTTGGGAGGGTGAGCAGGAGTGGTCAGAGTGGGTGCAAAGCTAAAAGTGTATTGAGCCGGGTTGGAGAGATGTCTCAGTGATTAAGAACACTCACTGCTCTTCCAAAGGTCCTGAGTTTAATTCCCAGCACCCACACATGGCAGCTTACAACTGTCTGATACCTTCTTCTGAGGTGCAGATATACATGTAGTCAAAGTACCAATATACATAAAATACATGAATAAATAAAATAATAAAAAAGAGTATTGAGTCATGATGAGTGACTCATGCCAGCAAACAGGAGTCTGAGGCTATTGCAAGTTGAGAGCTAGCCTGACTCTAATGTCTCATGTAGCAAGCTTCAGTCTAGAGTACCCCAAAAGTCTACCTTAGCCGGGTGGTGGTGGTGCACGCCTTTAATCCCAGCACTCGGGAGGCAGAGGCAGGTGGATCTCTATGAGTTTGAGCCCAGCCTGGGCTACAAGAGCTAGTTCCAGGACAGGCTCCAAAGTTACAGAGAAATCCTGTCTCGAAAAAAACAAAAACAAAAACAAAAAAAAAAACAAACAAAAAACTCTACCTTAAAAAAGAATGCTGGTGGGATAGCTCAGTAGGTAAAGGTGCCACCAGAGGTCCAGTGGCCTGAACTCATCCCCAGAAATCACACGGTGGAAGACAGCTGCCTCCTCCTGCAAGCCCTCTGACCTGTATACACTTAGCATGTGTGTTCCACCCAACAGAACAAAGAAATAAATGTCGAAAACAGAAGAAAGAAAGAGGGAAAGATGAGCTCTAGGTCTGCAGACTGTATACTTCGTAAGTTGTTATCAAGTCTCTGGTCCTAGGTCCCTAAAATGTGTGTCTGTTATATGCCGGAGTCTCATTTATTTTCTTAGCATTTCAAATAGGAAGAAAACGTCAAATGCATTTTCTTTCCCTTTCCTCCTTCCTTCCTTTCTTGCTCCTTCCTTCCTTCCTTCCTTCCTTCCTTCCTCTTCTTCGGAGATAGGCTCTCACTGTGTAGTCCTGACCATCCCATCATTTGCTTTGTACTCCTGGCTGCCCCTGAACTCAGAAATATGGCTGCCACTTCTGAGAGCTGGAATTAAAGGAATAAAGGAATTTGATACCACATCCAGCTCAAATATAATTTTCTCTTAAAACCTTTCTTGCCATGTAGCCAATCCAGAGCGCCCAGAACTTGAGCCAGTCCACAGGGAAGTGTTTCCCTAGCACTGACAACCTTGCGTCAGACTGTGGTGGTGTGTGCCTTAACCCCAGAACTCTGGGAGCAGAGGCAGGTAGAAGTCTGTGAGTTCAAGGCCAGCCTGGTCTACGGGGCGGGCGAGTTCCTAGCCTTTAATCACAGCAGATTAACTGGGAGGCAGAGGAGGGGAATCTTTGTGAGTTTTAGGCTAGCCTTCTCCAAAGAGAGTCCCAGGACATCGAGAGCTACGTAGAGAAAACAAACAAACAAACAAACAAACAAAACCTAAAAAACAAAACAAGGGGTTGGGGATTTAGCTCAGTGGTAGAGCCCTGGGTTCGGTCCTCAGCTTCAGAAAAAAAATAAAAATAAATAAATAAAAAACAAAACAAGCATAAAACAAACATGAAAAAACTTAAATAAATAAAAACCACAACCTTTCCCACCCTCTATACTCTTAATAGCCCAGTCTGTCTTCATGGACCTTACCACTGTCTGTTCTCCCACACCCTGCGCGTGTGGAACAGCACACAGTGCAGGCATGATGGTGCATGACTTTAATCCCAGACACTGGGAGGCGGACGCCAAAGGATGTGTGTGAGTTTGAAGCTAGCTGGGTCTACACAGTGAGTTAGGACAGCCAGAGCTTCACAGAAAGAACTGATCACAATCCTGCAACCCCCTCCCACAAAAGAGACTTCCAACTACTTTTTAAAAACCAATTTAAGCCAGGTGGTGGTGGTGGCGCACACCTTTAATCCCAGTACTTGGGAGGAGGTGGCAGGCAGATCTCAAGGCCAGCCTAGTCAACAAGAGCTAGTTCCGGGACAGGCCCCAAAGCTAAAGAGACACCCTGCCTCAACACAAATAAATAAATAAATAAATAAATAGATAAATAAATAGATAAACAAATAAATAAAATAGATGAAATAAAAACCAATTTAAGCCCAAGCCCACATGAATGAGGAAAAAAGGCAGAGAAGTTTAAAAATACCCAGGTAACCACAGAAAAGCCAAATCCCGTGGAACTGGCGTTGTGAACTGCCTTGTGGGTGCCGGGAGTTGAATGAAGGTCTTCTGAAAGAACAGCCATTGCTCCTAACTGCTGAGCCATCTCTCCAGCTCCCTTTCTTTCTTTTCTTTTTCTGAAAACAGGGTCTCACCCTGTTCTCTGACTGCCCTAGAAGTTGCTGTGTAGACCAGGTTAGCCTTGAATTCAGAAGGATCTGCCTGTCTCTGCCTCCCCAGTAGGTCATTATGTCTTGTCTCTGAAATTTTTTCTGACTGAACATTTCATGGCTCAGTGAAAGTTGGGAACCAATAAGAAACAAAGAGTTTTCATGTTCAGTAACATAGGTGGGGGCTGCAGATGACTCAGCAGCTAATAGCACGGGCTGTCCTATTCCAGAGGACCCGATTCAATTCCGAGCACCCATTCGTCCTGTGGGCTACTCCTTCAGTCTCAGACCTGATCACTGACACTTCTCTCCCCAAGCATAGCCTTTCACTGTCACTAAGACCCGTGTCATACAGCAGAATCAGGACGAACTATAGCAGCAGCCAGACACTGCTTCAAACCCTGACTCCTTCGTTCATTTGGACTTTATTCTAAGCTTCATTCTCCTGGTCTGGTGAGTGCACATAATGATGCCTACACTGGAAGATACACCAAGACTAAGGAAGATTCAGTACATAAAAAAGCACAGGGCTGGGCTCTGTTTCATCTCCTTTCAGAGGACTCTGGAGTTGAACTTAGAGAAAGGACTCTGCTGGAAAGAGGGTGTGAGAAGAAAAAGAGTAGAAGAAAATCCTGGGATTCTCATGTGATCACAAAACAGGTTTCAGTTTGGGAAACTCAGGACCCAGGAAGCAGACAGAGGGCAAAGCAGAACTGCAGTCCAGCCTTGGGGTCAAACGGGACTGAGCACCGAGGGTGTGAAGATCCCTTGTGTGGATGCTTTCTCTGATTTGATGTCTCACTATGTTGAGAGAATACAGAACATTGGGTTATGTTCTAGTCCTTAAAACTCTTATTTGCGAGAAAAGCCATTTTTTTCTTTTTATTAAAGCTGGCTTGTGTCTCCACCCTAAATTCTGGAACCTAATGCCCACCCCCGGATTGTCTTAGGGATATACTCTCTCTTGATTGGGGGTAGGGGTGGGAGGAATATACTCTCTTAAGGAATGTGAAGGTTCTAGACTTGGAGCTACTCTCACTTGACAACTGCAATCACAGGGCACTTTTATTTTACTTATTCATGTGGTCAGGGCACGGCATGAGAAGTTCGCTCTCCTCAATCATTCTGGAGAAGTTGCCCAAAAGGAAACAACTTGGCCAAAGCTCTCTTGCCTTCTTTCCCTCCTCTTTTCCACTGCACTTTCTGCCCTAGGGAGAGTACAAAACTGTTGTTGGAGCCCAGAGGGCTAGGTCGCAGACTAGCGCTCGGAGAGATGACGTAATGCTTTCTGTGGTACACAAAGCGGCCTCCCCAGGCTGGGCCTCTCTCGCCCCTCCCCCCAACCAGGAGTGCCGCCCCCGCCAGCACCAGCACGGGTGAGTCCCGCTTTTTGAAAAGCCAGATCAGGGAAACAGGGAACAAAGGCCCAGGAAGAAGCGCCTAGGCACTGCCAGGAGGCTCAGAAATAGACATCACGTCATCTCTCCACCCGGCGGCGCCAAGCGCCATTTGGTAACACCGGGAAGGACCTCACCTTTACGGTGCAGAACGAAGCTTACAGGGCTAGCATTTTACCCCAGCCCTAGCAACCCTCTGACCAGCTTAAGGAGTGGCTTCCTTTCTACTCTCCACCCCCGCACCCTGCTTTCCCCGGAGGCCTCCGCCTCCCTTGGCTGCCAGCCACACAGCCCATAGTCTCCGTGCTGCCATCTTGACGCCCCATCCCCCTTGCCACTTCCCTCTCCTGCAGCCCTCAGAAGTAGGAGGGGGAGGAAGGGGCACCGCCCTGCGTGCCCCCAAGGGGAGGGCTCGGCCTACCACCCCACCTCTCTTCCTCCAGAAGGAGGGGTTCACATCCTCCGCATGCCAGCCCTTTCTCACCCCAGGCCGTGCTGACAGTGCACCGTGGAGGGCTTACAGTCAAGGTTTTAGCATCTTGGACTCGCCTATCCTCGGTGGGACTCTGGCCTTGTCAGCCCCTGCAGCCCGCAGATGAAATTCAGGCGCTGAGGCCCAATTCTAGCAGGGCTGGCAATGAAAGGATCCCATCTGCACGTCACTCCCCGCCCATTCCTCAGCTATCTGGCTTTACGACGGCCTGATGGCTTCGAAATTAGTTTGTCAGACCCTACTTACCAAAGCTGGGGCGGATATTTGTGATCTCAGCCATGTTGTGATCAGAGGCTGTTGATAGCAACACTTTTGCAGAGGTCAGACAACTTTGGGAATCTGGGTCAGTACCGAGGCTGCGGCTGTGGACCTCGAGATCAGGGGAGGGGAAGGTGTCTGGCCGACTGCCCCTGCGACAGTCCAATCCCCGGTTGCTGGCTGCGCTTTCCTCTTAGATGCTCCAGGGATGCTCTGAGCTAAGGATGCAGGTGCAGCCAGACTGGTCCTGATGCGAGATAGGCTCCGCCTCTCTCCGAAGGGCCCTCGGCAGAAGACTCCGCCTCTGCCCGAAAGGTTCCGGAGGAGACTCTTCTAGAGGAGACCCCTCCCACTGCCGAGTTTTCCCGAGATCGAGGCTCCGCCCATTCACACAGCCTGTGGGCGCTGGGAAGAATTTCAAAGCCCAGTAGGAAGTGTAGGTGTTGTGCTAGTTCAGTGGCAGATTCCTGTACTGTGGCACTCGAGTGGGCGAGGCAAGAGAGTCAAGGACAGCCTCGGCTAGGTCTCCACGCACTGAAGAGAGGAAGATAGTCGCGTTAGCGTCTTCTGAAGCTGTGCTTCTAGTTCCTGGGTTTATACAGGAGGAAGCTGAACCTTCTGGGTTCCAGAAGTTGTGAAAAGCAAATTACATGCTGTTTCAGCATTGACTGCCTCTGTCTTAGTGCATTCATGGAACAGTGAATGCAATTACGGAAACTTAAACTTGAGAAATCGATTAAAAATCAAACCTGCCCAGGGGTAGGACGATCATGATCATGAGTTTCGTGATAATTGGGGGTGAGTGTGGGGGGTATCGGAAGACCCTGTGTCAAAAAAGTAAAACAATAACAAAAGATCTAAAATGGACTGGGAGATCAAATCACCTAAGATAACGTGAGAACATTTTTAAAAAATATTTCTTATTGTTTATTTACTATTTTATTTATTTATTTATTTATTTTTGTTTTTTGAGACAGGGTTTCTCTGTGGCTTTGGAGCCTGTCCTGGAACTAGCTCTGTAGACCAGGCTGGTCTCGAACTCACAGAGATCAGCCTGCCTCTGCCTCCCGAGTGCTGGGATTAAAGGCGTGCGCCACCACCGCCCGGCCTATTTACTTTATTTTAGGTGCACTGGTGTGAAGGTGTCAGATCCCCTGGAACTGGATCTTCAGACAGTTGTGAGCTGCCATGTGGGTGCTGGGAACTGAACCCGGGTCCTCTGGAAGAGCAGTCAGTGCTCTTAACCGCTGAGCCATCTCTCCAGCCCCCGCGTGAGAACATTTTTCATAGTGAAGAATTAACATTCTGACAAGAGGCAGGCTGATCTCCACGAGTACGAAGCCAGCCTGATCTACAACGCCAGTTCCAGGCCAGCCACGGTGGTTGTACCGACAAACCCTGTCACGAGAAACTAAAGAACGAATATAATGTAGGTATGACTAACTGCCATATCTTTTTTTTTTTTTCTTTTTGGTTTTTCGAGACAGGGTTTCTCTGTGGTTTTGGAGCCTGTCCTGGAACTAGCTCTTGTAGACCAGGCTGGTCTCGAACTCACAGAGATCCGCCTGCCTCTGCCTCCCGAGTGCTGGGATTAAAGGCGTGCGCCACCACCGCCCGGCTAACTGCCATATCTTGAGTTCAAGGCTGCCTTTGGTTTATGGTATCTTTCTGAATTGTAGGAATTCTTTTTTCATCCTATGTTCCGGGTATTTTTTTGGAAGGGTGATTAGTTGTCAACTTAAACCATGGATTTCCCACCCCCATTTTTTGTGTTGGATAATTAATTAAAGATAGAGAAAACTGGGACTTGCCCTTCTTTCATCCCTTTCTTCTTTTCCTTTCCTTTCTGCTTTTTCTTTTCTTTTCTTTCTTTTTTTTGAGATAGGAATTTCTCTGTGTAGCCCTGGCTGTCCTGGAACTCACCATGTAAACCAGGCTGGCATCGAACTGAGAGATGTGCCTGCCTCTACCTCCTGAGTGTTGGGATTAAAGGCATGCACCACTAAGCCTGGCAGGGAAGTGCCTTTCATGCTTTTATTTAGACAAGTCAGAGAAGTTTGTGCTGAGAATAGCTCTGAACTCTTGATCTTCCTGCCTCCACGTTCCGAGTGTTGCCATTACAGGTGTGCACCACCAAACTGGGCTTATATAGCGTTGGCATTCAAACTCAATAGCTTCCAGCAGGCAAGGCGAGCACTCTACCAAACTACATCTTTTATTTCCTCCCTCCCTCCCTCCTCCTTCCTTCCTACCTACGTACCTGCCTGCCAGCCGGCCTGCCTGTTACCTGCGTGCGTGTGTGCGTGCCTGCCTGCCTACTTACCATTGTCTATTTCACATTCATCTATCATGTGTTCTGTTACTTTTTCCCTCAACTGACGTCTTAGTCCTGCGGCTTCACGAGGCCCTAAAACAAGATGGCGCCTATAATTGTGCGCATGCTCCTTGACGCCCAGTTTCCGCGCCTCCGGGGCGCGCACGTAAGGCAGCGCCGTTGCCTTACTTCCGCTGGTGCAGAAGCGGAGTTTCCGCGGGATCGGGCCGGCGTCTGAGGGTACTGGGTAGTGTATGGTGGGGCAGGAAGAGGCAGGTTGACGTGGGACTCCGGGGCGGCTGCCCGGGTTGAGGTGCGCGGCGCTGCAGGGAATTGGGTAGCAGCGGTGTGAGCGGTGGTGCGGAGTCGGGTTAGTGCTGAGCGCCAAGGAGACCGCAGCTAGGACTCCCTCTGTAATGTTTCTCCTGGACGGTTCCCACCCCCCTGGGGGGCGGCTCCCGGATTAGCGTTCCTTCTTCAACCTGTTGGTTTTCCTCCTGGCCTCCAAGGAGCGGACTCTTGGAGCTGCCTTTGTTTGAAGCGCTTGCTTGGCTCGATCCCCGCACAGTTCTGACCGAACAGCGCAACAGCGCCCGGCTGCTCCCTTCTCCCCGCTTCCTTTCTGCTCTCCCTCCCCTGAAGCTCACGCAGTCATCTGTGAAGTAAAGGAATCGCCTAGGTGATTCCCACTCCTCTCCTTACTCGTTTACCGCCCTCCGTGACAGGATCAAAGAATCTTGTCTTACTTGAGGTTTACCGAGATAAGAACCAGGGCTTTTATGGTGAGGGCCTCCTTTAATGCCCTAGAAAAGGTGAACTGCGGAGGCTTAAGGTTAGCTTTTCAGATCAAACTCGGAGTCAGCGCGAACATTGGTTGTAAGCGTGCCAGGCTCCTCTACCACTGTTGAGTGGTCTTTCAGGCTTGAAGGTTGCCAGTGACGCTTATTCTGTTCTTGGACCTACTTATGAAAGTGAGTGTTTCTGCGTAGAAGGGTGCAACCAGAGGCTGGGCGTGTACTCAGGTGGTAGAGTGCTCGCTTGGCCTGCAGAAAGCTCTGGATGCACACTCGAATGTTGTCAGTGTTGTCAGCAGGGTCACAAGTTCAAGGTCTTGGGATAGATCGCTGTTGGAAGCCACCCTCCAGTACCTGTGTAAACGCTCGATGCTTGGTCGGATTTTCAGCACAGCATTGTTGAAGCCCACTCTCATTCATCTCTGCAGTGAATGGTCGCTGAGTGACTATAGTACCCGCATATTGCTGGATACTGGAGACACCAGTTAAGGCTATCCTTTCCTCACTGAGTTCATAGTTCTTGTGGAGGAACACAGAGATATTGCAGAAGTGATATGTGATACTGTAAGATTTACTTTTTATTTTTGTGGGTTTTTTTGTTTGTTTGTTTGTTTTCGTTTTTGAGACAGAGTTTCTCTGTAGCTTTGGAGCCTGTTCTGGAACTAGTTCTTCTAGACCAGGCTACCCTCGAACTCACCGAGATCCACCTGCCTCTGCCTCCGGAGTGCTGGGATTAAAGGCGTGCGCCATCACCGCCTGGCTTACTTTTTATTTTTGGATTACACGTCTGTCTGTGGATATTTAATGTGAGTGCAGGTGACCATTCCAGGCTGGCCCGGAACTTAGTGGTGGACCTGGCTGGCTTTGAACTCATAGAGATCCACCTTCCTCTCTTCCTAGGCTAGGGATAGAGGCCTGCACCATCATACAGGCCTGAGGTCTAGAGTTTAAGAGATTGAGGTAACACTGTTCCATAATAGTGTTCCACTAATAGTACTCCATACTATTCAGGAGGGAGCTTGAGCTGCGCTCCTGTCATCAGTTTCTCATCCTCCCTAAAAATCCTAGGCATTTGATGTGAAGGTTCATGATTGAACCTGGGGATCGTGAAATGATAGCTGAGCAGATGTCATTACTGTTAGTCCTACTGAGGTGACAAGGACTTGCCTTGTATCTTTTCAGGATGGACCAGAAGTGGAGCTTCTAAAATGGTGCCCTGTAAAAGGAGAAGAGCTGCAGTGACAGAGTCTGTGCAGCAGCCTGACGACTTAGACCTGGAGTCAGCTGCGAAGCCCGAACCCGGCCGGCTTAAAGACTTGGGGTCAGAGTCACCGTCCTGGGGTCAGCGTCAGGAGAGTTCAGGGTGCCCCGAGGTGCATTCCGTGCGTGATGGAGAGAGTCAGCTCAGCATGGAGGATCCGTCTCTCAGCTCTAAGATGCTCACCCAGCGTGGAAACTTACCGGTTCTGGAAGCCATTGATGTGGCCATCTCTCAGGAAATCACCCTTCCTTCTGTGGAGTCTTCTCATTCCCTTACTGTATACCTCGATAAAGGGAGACTCCAGGCCACGGCCTCAAGGAAAGCAAAGAAAATTGTCTTCCAGCCTGGGCAGGTTACCAGAGAAGACCGAGGAGATCATCCTGTCATTGAGGAGCCTCCTTTATTAGGAGAGCCTGGGGGAGAAGTCAAGGCAGAAGGAGGTAAGGGTGAGAGGTCTCGGTTGCTTTTTCCTTGCCCGTTTAGATTGAGTCACTCTGAAGTTCTAAATTCCAAAATGCTCCACCCTTTACTCTTGGAGTACAACCATGATGCTTTAAGTAGAAAATCCCACACCTGACCTCACGTGAGGGGCTGTGTCAGAATGCTGGCCTTCTTCAAATATTGTGTAAGACTGTCTTCAGATGATAGAAAGGCTGTGTATGAGAAATAAATGAGTTGGTATGCTTAAGCTTGGGTCCTATCTCTAGGATATCTCATGAATGTACGTCTTCGTATTGGACCCAGGCTTTTCAGATAAGGGACAGATATGTAACCTGTGCCACTTTGTTGTTTTCTTTTCCTTTTCTCTACACAGCCCTGGCTGTCCTGGAACTCACTATGGAGACCAGGCTGGGCCCTATCTCAGAGAGACCTACCTGCCTCTGCCTCCCAGTTGCTGGGGTTA